AGTAGACTGTTGTGGTTAGTTTTACCATGGAGGAAGAGTGACTGCAATGAACAGCAAGAAATATGCCACAATCTTTTAATCTTCTTCTTTAATGCAGAAAGGCTCTATATTTCTTCTACACCATGCAATTAAAAGATTAAAATAATGCTGAAGTGGTCTGGGCTTTTTGGAAAAAAAGAAATCTGTTTTTCTATTTTTTGGAAGTGTGGTGTACAAGAACTGCTATTTCAGTGGTGGAGTGTCAACTCTTGAGTTTAACAAAAGTCCCCTTAAATAGTAAACCAAAGCTATAAAAATGAAACATATTCTTTGAAGGCAGAGCACCTGCTAAAATTACTGTATTTTACAAAAAAAAAAAAAAAAGGAACAGAACAGAACACGTGTGATTGCGGTGCCCCACGTGTCAGAATTCTTACTGCTTTTATTTCCAGACAAACGGGGGAAGAGCCATGGCTGTGCCTGCGTGCGCAGTGGTGGGGAGCAGGGACCAGCCAGGAGGGAGCAGTTCGGGCGGGCATCCGCACCAGCTGCGTTTTGGGGGGAGTCACTTCAGACCAGGTCCAGCCTGGTCCCATGGAGTGACCTCCCTGTGGCAGCTGGGGCCTGGGAGGTGCACGCCTGTACTGTGGGTTGGAGTTAGCCATGGCACAGGGCGCAGCGTTTGCATGCTCCAAGCCAACAAAGCGCGATAAGGATGTGGCGGGGGGGGGGGGGGGTCGGGAAATTTGTTCCGAAAGCGCACTCCAAAGGAAACAGGGAGCCCGTAGGGCCTTGTCAGGGAGAGGCCTTCCTCTGCCCGCTGGCGGCCATCTTAGGTGCAGCTCTGCAACCACAGGGCTTCAGGAACTCCTAATTACAGCGATGCTTCACTCTCCCTCTCCCTGTCTCGGACATGGGCTACTTCTCCCGCCCTGTAGGCACAAGAGGGAATTCCTTAGCCCCAAAGGTCAGCCTTTCCTTCGGCTGCACGGCCGGGACGTGGGGCCATGCTGAGGCAGCAGATGGGTTCCCTGGGGCCCTGCCCTGTGCCGGGGCCCTCGGGCCCAGGCGTCGCAGGGGTGTGAGAGAAACCCACCTCCTTCCCCCTCTGCCAGGCACACTGAGCGCGGCTCTCACACGGGCAGCCATATGCCAGGCTGCCAGAAATAGCGGTTGTTTTTAAAGTAGTTGGGATAACAGGACCCACTTCATTTATTACAGAATAAGCTGAGAACTGGTCTGTTGTTTCACACCGATATCGGGGTCGAGAAGGATGTTTCCTCCTTGATCCTCACATGTGGACATGATACTGCGTAAGAGGCTCCATGTCCAGCCTGTCAACTGCCGTATCGGCTAACAGCTTTTAAAGCAGATAGTTTGTAGAGAGATAGAATAAAAAGAATTATTTCACTTGTATTCAGTTCTGTGTTAAGAAAGGAGATTTATACTAAAATACTAGGGCTGTAAAGATTGTCCTTTTTCGTGTTAGTGTCTAACCTTTTTTTGTATTTTACAGGTCTGTTTTCCTTAAGAATTAAATTCTATAAATAATCACGTTTCTCTTACAAATTAGGAGGGTTTTTTTTTACTTGTAATGGCCTCATGTTCTGTGAATGAATGCAAAGGAGCTTACAGGGATGCAGTGTCTTTTCCCACTATTCCCAACAGAGGCTTTTTTTCTCTGAATCATTCTTAGGCGATGCTATCTACTGGCTGTCACTCTTAGCTGTATGTCTGTCATGTTCCCTCTTATCCTGCTCTCAAAAGGGTATTCTTGGCCTTTCTTTTCTGGGAGATCCATCCAGTTGCCCTTGCTTTAAATCCCAGCAGGAAGAGATTTCTAAAGCGGAAATGTGGGGTTGATGTGCGACCACACCGTGTCTCCGCGAGCACCGATCTGTTCTGCCCTTCCCTGCTATCTCCAGCAGCCAGAGGTGCCTCAGGCACCTGCATGTGCACATACCACTTCACATCATCTTTTTTTTCCTTTTTTTTTTTTCAAATGGGCTACGTAATGTTAAGTGCAATGCTGTAAAATAATTTCTTCTCCTGAATAATAGAAAGTTGCACTTCATTTCATTACACCTGTAGCGTGAGTGAGCGTTGCTGAGCTAATATCAGATCTGAAACTTGAGAGCCCTCTTTGACAAGTACCTGTAGGTCCCATGGACTTGCAGATTACATTGCTGCAACTGATGGAATACTCGAATCTGTTTATTTTTTCTGAATTTGAGAGGAGGGACACTTTTAATACTTAAATTCCCATCTTTAACATTGCACAGATGGTGTAATGTTTTTGCATTTTTTATATTATTTTGGGTTACTGAAGTTAATATTCTGCTAGCTACAAGTATCCGTGTGCATACCACGGAGTTCATTTTGAGGACAGAGCTCTAAAATAAATTATAGACCTTGGTAGCAGTCATAAATCCGTCATTTTTTTCATTGAGAAGGTGGTGGCTCTGGAAGAAATTATTTAGTGATCAAAATGCATCGTTAAGCTTTTAAAAAGGGATTCTGTGCCTGTAGTAGAGCTGTAGGCGATTTATGGCTTATCTGTACTCATTGCCTGGAGCTTTTGGAAAATTTGTAAACAAAGCCAGATGCTCATTATGTTCCTGTTCAGGGTTGGTTAGATGGGTAAATGCCATCAGAAGCACTTTGGTCCTGTTGGGTTTTAACATGTTACAGAAAATGGAATCGCTCCAAAATATTTTTTTAAATATTTATCATCCATGAAAATATACTTCTAGTTTCTGCTCATAGAATGGATTTTTTAAAATAGTTGTATATTATAACAATGTGGAAGTAATACTTTGAGAACTATATTGTATACTAAACTGTGGGTCCAGCTTTTTCTCTGTGTCAGAGTTCATACTTATACCGTGTGATGTAGTCAAGCACCACTCGCCCTTTTTAAAGGTTTCGGGCAATGCAGGAGGCTGTGGAAGTTTCAGGCTAGGGTAGCTTCTGCTTTCACCAAATTTTAGGGAACTGAGACGTGAACTAAGTGACTGTTCGTAACCAGTTTGATAAGTGAAGTCATTTGCTATTGATTTGATAATTTTTACTGCTCGCCTTTTGTCTTCTGTATAGATTATGTGATGTGAAAGGGGTTCTTGTAAACTACATTTTTTTGCTTTTTACTGCTCTTTAAGCATAAGAAAGCATGCTGCTGTATACAAATTGACTTGCTGTAGGTTAACAAAAATTTTCCTTGTAATCATATTTATTGCAATGTGATCATCATGTAATCCATTTCATAATTCATGAATAACTTTTTGGTGTATTTTTTTTATTTATCGGCTGCAGCTGACCAAGTAAACAGGTCATGGCACGCTTAACGAAGAGACGACAGGCAGATACAAAGGCTATCCAGCATCTTTGGGCAGCTATAGAAATAATCCGGAACCAGAAGCAAATTGCTAACATTGACCGTATTACAAAGTAAGTGATCCGTTCCAAAAAAAGTCTTGATGAGGGGGAAGGTTGATGCTATTAAAAGCCCTGGGAAACAGAGACAGTAAACATTGTGAGAGACTGTGAAAAAGTTACATGCACTTCTGTGTTACTAATTTTCTAATTATTAAAAAAAAAAAAACTTACAGAACTGAGCACCTAAAGATCTTAAAGTGAGGTTTAATCCATTGAACTGAGATCTTACTCATCCTGTATTTGTTTTGTATGAGCATCTTTAGGAAATATGCAATATTTATAGTACTTGGACTGAGTTAGCATGTCAGTTGTACTCAGTTGGTAGCTTGGTCAAAATACAAGACGTAGATATAACAGCTAAGGAGAAAAGGGTAATAAAATCTGTAAATAATCTAATTCTTTAGGAAAATGTGATAGGCCAGTGGAGAACTCTTTTCCAGAAGGCAAAGATAAACCTGAAGTGTTAGGTTGCTCAAACAAGTAAGAAGCTGTATTTGCTGAGATGGGCATAGGATGCTATTAAAGAAGACATGAGATGATTACCACCTATGCCTAATACTATTGTTAATGTTACAATATTATTCAAAATGTGTTAGGTGCTGTACACACAGAGAAATATATATTCTTTGTTCTGTGGGGCTTGCAATGTGTAAAAAGGTCTACAGTATTAAAATAACTCCTAAGATAACTTGGAGTAGCCACTATAATAAAAACTGAGGGAGGTTTTGTGCCTCTCTCTGCTTTGTCTGTGTTTCCAGGCCAACATGTATGTCACGTTTGTCAAAGTAATCAATATGAATAATTTTAAAGAGCAAAAGTAACCAGTTGGCGACTCTTCAGTTGCCAGAACCAATATGAGGCCAGAGACCACTAAAGGGGAGAGTTAAAAACAGTGCAGGTGACTAACGAAGTGAAAAGCATTATAACATGGTCCACTGACAAAGTTTGGAAGCTCTGGGGTGGACATGACAGGCAAAACTGGCTTCGTAAGTGGAAGGAGTGTAACAGTTCAGGTTCTCCAAACATAGTGAACAATAAACAGGAGAAAGAAAAAAGATGATGTCCCAAATGGATTAGTGTGTACCTGGCTCCTATAACAAATTAAAATGCACCATTAAACCAAAAAGCACCTTCCCAGAGATAGACAGTTCCAAGCAGGTTGGAGAGGGAGATTGTATTTTAGGGCTTTTAGGGAATTGCATTTTTGAGGTTGTACTTGGGTTTCAGAATGCTTTAAAGCATATATATTTGCATCATGTCTTCAAGGAGACAAGCAGGTAAAATAATGCTATACACTTTCTGTTTTAACATTTCAAATTACTTGCTCCAGGCCGTATATTAGCTGAGTTTGTTAGCTGTTTATGCTCTTTTTGTGTGTAATAAAGGGAGACAGGCATGTCTAGCTGGGGATTCCTCCCACTCTTATGAGAGATGCCTATTTTAAGATAGTGTGAATAACATGTAGCTGGGTAAAGTTAGGTAAATACAAATCCTGCCGTTACAAACAATGTTGAGAAAACAAGTCATTAGATATTGGAAAAAGAAGTACTTCTCTTGGTAACTGAAGCGTAGTTCGAGTTTTTTAAAAAACAGTCTTGATCCAGATTGTATGACTCATCTTTAATCAGAAGAAAAATAAGAGACTTAACAGAGATGCAAGCAGCCTTAGTACTTTGAGAAAGACGTGCAAGGTGTTAGCAGTGAAGAGTGATCTAAAAAGTGCTTGGGCATTGTAAATGCTCCACACGCACATTAGTGACGAGGGTGATGAACAGTGATCTAGTTTGTATTATATGATATTTTTAAGGAGATAACTTTTGACAAGGAAAAGAGAAAGACCTTTGAGTTGCTTTACGGTACTAGTCATTGATGAAGAAACACAGATGACTTAGTAAATGAGTATGCATGTTACATAATATTCAAAATAAAGTTCTGAGATTAGCAGTGTGTCAGAATATCTCTTCTGATGAAAACTGAGCAGCTGATTTATTCATCCAGGCTCAAAGATTGTTTGGTCAAATACAACTGCAGTTCCTTAAAAGATCAAGCAGTGTCTGGGCACACAGGCAAATGTATGACTAATAAGAAAGACCAAAACCAAACAGTGGTCAAAAGTGAAAATTATGAGCATATATACATAGTTGGAGCTCAAGGGGAGGATTCTCATACTTGGATTAGTAACATTTTTTAGAAGTGTTAATACCTCCTGGGATTGACTGAAAGAGTGGCTTTGCATATTACAAGTATTTGCAAGTAATAATGACAATGAAATTTATGGAAGCATGTGTTATTCCTGAGTAAGGATACAGAAAAACAGCAAGATAATCTTTTTTTATAAATACATGCTTAAGGTAAGTGACAGTCATCCTACTGTGTCATATAGTGGATGACAAATGTGTACTTTCAGTGAACTCCACAAGTTGAAAAGATGATTCATGATTTGATTTTTGATTTGATTTTCTTTTTGCCATAGTTTGAGTGTTCATTTGTTGCTAGAGACAAGTTGTCCTCTGTATTTTGTGACCTGTTAGTCCAAACACCTTCATAGCAGAATCTCTATTGCTGCTTTCTTTATCAGGCGGATTGCTACTTCTAGGCATATCTATTAGTTGGCTTTTTTCCTAACTGGCAGCTCAGCATGGTTGTCTCCCTAACATATTCCTGTTTACTTCTTGCTTTTCTTAGACTTCTGGTGCTGAGTAGAAGCCACTGTACATATCAATGAGCATTTACTTTTTCTGACCAGGGAGGAAATGTTGGTAGTATAAAAAGAGGATTCATTGTTTATAGATTCTGAACTGTTTCAACTCAATATGTAAAAAAGCAAATGTATGTAACACACTAAAATACGTAAAATGTAACCTGTGCACTTTATATGTAATTGTTAAAAAATATCTGGTGTAAAGAAAGACTTCCAGAAGATAGGGGCAATGGATAGTATGCAAGAAAAATCTATAGAACCATCCACACGTTTTCTGTAGAGAACATAAGAGTAGGAGGATAGTGTAGGAGGAGCCAAGAGCACTAGAAGGTACTTCTGGTATTATCAGAAAAAACCTATAAGGAAAGAGGCCCTTTAATTAAAAGTAGGCTAAATCAAGTATGCCTTGCTTTTTAAATTGATGGGGAGGAAAGGCAAGAATAGAAATATATGTGATTAGATAGTGATTGAAAACTGTCTTATACACTGAGGAAAGAATCACTTGGAAAATTTGAATATGCAAGTTAGAGCCTTTAAGAAATTAGTAAGCTTACTGAACTTTTGGCAATTATTCTAGAAAAGTCATTGCATGCAGAGAAATATTAAGAAACACAAGGAAGGTGTCTATTTTTGAAGGAATTAAAAATGTGTGTGGAAAAATTGCAAGGATATGACACTGATAATTGGAGTATTACATAAATACTTAAACAAAAGCATTGGTAGGGAGGAGACCACACTGCACAGACTTGATGTCTCAAAAAAAAAAAAATCAGCAAATCATTGTATGAAAAGGATTCTGCAATTTTAGTGATTATATGTGGGGGTACTTTCCATTGGTTGGGGGATAAGCATTTTTCAGTAGCTGGAAAACTAATGAAGGACTGAAAACCATTTCTAACAAGAATTAACAGTGTAGTGAATTTAAAGGAATTAGTACTAAAAGTGCAAATTGCCTTTTGAAGATAACTTTAAAACATGTATGTAAGTTCCTACCTTAGTACATAGGTGTCAGCATGTTCAGTGCATTTTTATTTAGCTGTAAAGCTCATTTGAAGACAGTGGTAACATTTCTGTAAAGGTATACAAAATAAATATTCTCACCTGGCTTATACTGTCATAGTGTATCTCAAGTCAATGAATTATAATCATTTAAAATCTGACTACTAGAAATATCTAACATTTCTAAACTACCAAATTACTTAATAACAAAATTATATTTCTAAGAGGTATTTATTAAGAAATTACTTATTTTTCTGTCCAGACTTGATGTTGGGATATTTGACCCTAAGATGTCAATTATTTAGATGAGAATTACTGGTATTAGTTATGCTGTAAACACTAGTGGAGAAATGGCTTCCCATATCTTGTGAATCCTCTGTCAAGAGTGCGGCTTGACAAATTGTTCATCCCTAAAAGTGTGTTAAAAATTATAATTATGCTTTGACTTTCTGTTTTTTCCTCATTATCTTCCATCTGGTTTGGATTTGGGGTAATGTCAAAAATTGATTCTATGGAATAAAATGCCTTAAAATACAGTGGAAAAAAGGCATGCATATTTAAACAAGTAGGATAAATTATTGACATTCAGTTGCATAGCAGATTGGTGAGTATTTCTGTACAGACATGTTTTTAAAGTCCTCTTTCTTTGGCTACTCCAATCTTCCAGTTTCTTTCATAGTATTTTCTTTATAATTCCCTTGCAGGTAATTGGGCTCCTAAGATTTAATTAACTATTAATTAAATATTTACCCTTTTTCTCTCAAGGTATTGGGTTTCCTCAGTAGCAATTTATGAACATTTCATGATCTTTATGATTAGTTCAGAGTTCATTATCTATTAAGCTAATGTTATTAAAATACCCAATTGGCAAATACAGTGCTCTAAAACTATTATTGGCTGCTCTCAAGATTTTGTCATTGTAAACAGATAATTATTCTGGTTTCTAAACTATTCCATGAAGACTAATGTGAAGAACCAAAACATAATTCTTTTCTTCCATACTTCCTTCCTATTTTTCTCTCTCTCCCTTTGATGTGTATCATGATTTATTTAGTTGATTGGCTTCTCTCCCTGTCTCTTAGAAAGGCTGTGTCTATACTGTCTGTGTGTACTATGACAGGGAATGCTATGGCACCATCTGGAGCAGATATGCTGTGACCACACCGCATTGCCTGTGGCTCATGGCGTGTTTCTTTGGCCCTGACATATTCTTTGTTTGTTTTATATGTGTGTGTGGTTCTTCAGTTCTAAGCGCCAAAAATAATACAGCCCACAGCAATGCTATTCTTGAAACCTGAAGCTAGAGGCATGA